ATAGCATGTAGCACCATTAACTTACTATATGCTTTATGTATCGATTTTATTGTCTGACCCCTTCACCAGAGTATGAATTCTGCCAGGCTTGGATTTTTCTGTGCTACATCCACAGTGCCCAGAGCCAATGCCTTGTGAATAGTGTGGCTTAGTAAATATTTGTGGAGTGAAAGAATTATTCAGAGCAAAAGAATTCAGGCCCAGACAGGTGAAATGTATTTTATGGTATTTGTTGGTGGCCAGAATGGGGGTGGGGTGGGAGCACAAAGGAAAGAGAGGAGCAGGGGAAAGTTTCCATGTGAATTCCTCTTCAGATTCCTAGGAAATGAGTCAATTAAAAATTGAACTGTATTGATGGCTGTGCATCTCATGAAAATACAATCCACACGGCATTAAAGGCAGATGGCCTTTCCTTCTCCCAGCTGACACTCTTCCGTGATGCCAGCTTGTGCGTGCTTGAACTCAGCTTTCCTTGGAGACTTAATTTCTTTCTTTTACGGGATCTGAAATAACATCAGCTGTGATTTATATGCTAAGTTTTGAGAAATCTGCTGTAAGTACTGTCACGGGTTGTTTCTGGCTCGCCTGCCTGTCAGCAGGCAGTTTGCATGTGCGATGGCACCGTTTCCTAGGTTGTCACTCCACCCAGTTCACAGGATCCCTACAGTTGTTCCCCCGCCACACCCACGATCTCTCTCGCCCCTCACTTCAAGATAAGCTGCTCAAGGGGGTGATCTGCACTTGCTGTGCTCATGTCCACCCCTGCCCCTGCTTTAACCATCTGTGTTTTGGCCTCTGTCTCCACCACTTAACAGAAGTCCTGCTTGTGACGGAAACTTGGCATCACTTTCGAGTCGGGTCCGAGGGTCTTTGCCATTATTCGGACTCCCTGGTGTCTCCTGTTCTCACGTTGACTGTCCCTTCGTTTAGGGGAACTCTCTTTTCCACGGCACACGGTTCTCCTTTTTCCTGAGTGCCCTCCAAACTCAGTTCTTACGCATTTGTGCTTTTCCCCTTTATTGTTTCTAAGCTACTAAGTAGTCCTGCAACCGTCTGTTCTAGAATACCGTATTTAGACCTATTCTTCCCAGATTGTCATCATTCTTCACTTTCTACTCCCATATTTGCAATTGCCTAGAGAGGCTGAGCCATCACGTAATTTGTGGCCACTTTTGAGGATATGGAAGAACTACATGGACAATAAACCAGACCGGTCACACTGGCTCAGAGTGACCCTCTCTCTGAGGGTCACCCAGAGTGACCACCCAGACATTTCGAATCTTCCAGGCCCGTGTGGCTAACAGCAGCCTCAGAATCCATGTGTGAGGGTCGTCCCCCTTGCTGCACTGGTGGCACAGGCCCAGACCCGGGCACCTTCACTCCACCTCCCTCTGGCCCCGCACCCCGGGAATGCTGCTCAGTCCCTCTGCCATTGGCCGCCTCAGGGGGCCCACTCGGTGGGTTGTCATCACCACCCCTGGATGGTGAGCGCAGGTTGTGCTAGGTTTCCTCGCCAGGTATTTTCACTTACGGTTTATTCTGCACACTTTTACCGCATCAGTCTGCGTAAGACACCGCTCTCAGCAGCCGCACGCGTAGGGACGCCCCTCTGTTTACGGGGCTAAGCCCCAGCCGGTCAGATGCGTCTGGTGCCCTGCGGGCGAGCCCTGCGCTTGCTCCCCTTTCAGCCTCACAGCCGGAGGCCCCGCGGCCTCTTCTCCCCCGCCGCGTGGGTTTTCCTGCCTCTGTTCCTCCACTGAGGATTATAACGCCCTTCCCTCCGTTGTCCCCACTCTGCATCAGTCTGCATTTCTTACCCGCTTCTGGGAGATCTTCCCTGAGCCCCGTGGCCCGAGTTCCTGCACATCACGTTTGTGACCTGTTTTTCCTTTTCTGTTTAATACTGAGTTATGTGCAACCTCTTTTGGTTTTAACTACTAAAATAAACTTTAAGTTCTGTAAGGACTATAATCACACACTTCTTTTGTATCCCCTACAGCAGCTATCACTAAGCTGGGCCCTTAAACACTCATATGTAGTTAATATGTAATTAGTAACATGCAGTTAGATGCTCATGTAGTTAATGCAGCTTAGGGAGCCAGGGCTCACTGAAAAGTAAACTTTTGTAGCATAGAATATATTGGTTCATACTGAGCTGGCCATGGAAGTTTGAGTGGAAGATGGAAATCTCCGGAAGTACATAGGATATGTTTAGCTTTTAAAGGAGTCATTAACTTTTTTTAATGTAATAAAATTCATAGAAGATACAAGGTTTAAGGAGAACCTTAAAATTATCCAAAATTTTGCCACCTAGAGAACACTGCTACTTAATATTTTGATGGAGTCCCTTCTAATAAAAAGAGTCAGCATGTTACACTCATGTTTTATGCATAATGCTGTCACATGTATTTAGTTACCCCTTACTTAGTGTACATTTAAGTTTTTTCCTAGCATAATGTTGCAGTGAGAATTATTTTCACATATAACTGTACACATCTTTGATTATTGCCTTAGATTAAATTCTAGAATCAGTATCCATATACATTTAATTCCCACTTCTAAAACTTATTTAGAAGAAGTTTTAAGATGTTTGGTTTTGGGGGTAGAGGAATGTTGGAGTTTTAAACTTTACATTAAGTATTTTTTTACATTGGATAAGAGAATAGGACATGTCCAGTCCCTGCTGTTGTTTCATTGGTGTATTTTCGCCTTTAATTGTGAAAGTTAATATTTCTAATTCTTAGACTATGATGTGAAACAAAACATGATGTGAATATTCAAAATCCTGGTGTCCGCATCTTTCTCTGTTAAAGCCTGAGTCGCTAGTTAGTTCTCATGAAAATCGGATTCCTATGAGATTTTCCTTGTTTGTAGAACAAGGAGATTTCACTGCTTATATTTGATGTCACATCGTCTGGTGCACTGAAGTCCACAGATCACACCTTCATAGCAGAGTTCACTTCATCAACATAAAATTACCCTCCTAATGCTATTAAATGCCTTTTTCATTGAATTTTACTTTGTTTAAGATTAATATTCCCCTTGCTTTCCTTTTCTTTGTATTTCCTTTAACTAATTCTGTGTTTTTGATATGGGGTGTGTGTCTTTAGTTTAGGTATACAGACTCTGTAACTGAGAGGCCTGTTTTATAACAGTTTTTCCCCCTAATTCACATTGAATTTTACAGCTATCAACTATCTTCCATAGTTCTGTGCTATTTCCCTTGATGTCTGCTTCAGCTATTTGCTTTTATCTTTTTCAGAGATTTGGCAAGATGATCTGTTCTTTTATATCTATTAATAATAGCCTAAGGCTCTGTAAGGCTTATAATTACATACTCTTTTATTTCCCTTCTATTTACCTCTTTTACCCCTAGCCTCTGTTAGTATTCTAAATTCATCTTTAAATTATTATCTTTATATTATAAGTATAATCTTTCAAAAATAGTTTTCCATTACAAGAATAATTTGATGTTTGTATGCAGCTCTGTGTCTTTACTTACAACAATTTGTTAGATACATTTCTTTGTTTAGCTGGTTCCAGTGCTCATTTTTGCTCCTTAAAAAAATAAAAATTAAAAAAAATATTTATTTCTGAGCCCTTAATTTTGATTCTGCCCTTAATACCTTTTAAATTTTAATTTATTAATTTAATTAATTAGATTGTTGAGAGTATTTAAAGAAGGTAATTGGAGTGTCTGTTTCCTGAAATCTTGTGCATCTACTGGTATATCTTTGCTTTTTTCACACAAGAAAAGTAGTTTACCTGGCTAACTTATTAGGTCGAACGTTTTTCCCTTAATTCTCTGTCAACACCGGTTCATTCTATCTGAGCATTTCATATTGTAGTAGAAAAGTCTGGGGCCTGCCTGACCTTATCTCTTGGTGGTGACCTGCTTTGTCTGCTTGAAGACTTTTTAAAAATTTTAATCATACAGATATCATCATAATGTTTCTATAGAATAGGTGTCATTTAATTATTTCTTTTTCTAGGAAACAGTGAGATCTTTTGATCTGTCTTTTGGGCTTTTTTTTTTTTTTGTCAGTTGTCACTTTGACTATTGCTTCTGATCTAATTTTTCACATTTTTTCCTTGGAGAAGTGTGATCTCTGTTATCTGTCTTTTTTGTATGACACCTTCTACTTTATAATTATACCCTTCTTTTTCTCCACATTCTGGAGGAAATCTTTCAAGTTTCATTTCAAATGCAGCTTTGATGTTTTTGTCACGTCGATTCTGTGCACTTGCGTTCCAGCCCCGCTCTCCACCTCCTTCCTTCCTTCCTCCGGCCTCTCATCTCGCAGAGCTCCCTTCTCCTCTCGTCCTTCCGCCTACCCCTCATCTTTTCTCCCTCCATGGCCTTTTGGTCCTATTCTACATCTCTTCAGGAGAATACATTTAAAATGTCTAAATTTTTCTCTGTTTCTGGATTTAATAACACTCTATGGCTCACTCTGCCTGTTTGTTTCAGTATAACTTTGTTCTGTGGCATCTCATAGCTTCTTTTTCCTTTAGCTTTTGTTTGCTTGTTCTGGAATGAGGAGAGAGCCGTCCAGTTTCCACGGTTGCCGGCAGGACCAGCTTGTGGATCAGCCTGGGCTCTGCACGCTGGCCATGGGGGCGTTGGCCGAAGTGCCTCTGCGGAGCTACAGGAGGGAGGGTGGCTGGGCTCAGCTCCCTGCAGTGTGGCTTTGATGGACCTAAACGGGACTGTCTACCCCCAACCCCCACACACGGTGGGAGAAATCTTTCTAATGAAGCTTCTGATAAGCACAGGTTCCTCCATCTGCCCTCGGCCAGGGCGGGCCTGGCGAGTGGGAGGGGGAGAAGGCAGGAAGACAGCAGCCTGGCAGAAGCAGTCCCCACGTAGGGGTAGTTTTCTGTGACAACTTGGGCCTCCAAGCCAGTGGGCAGAAAGGGGCAGGCAAAATGTCCCCTTCTTTTAGTGAGATGGGGCGACATTGTTTCCTATAAAACGCAGGCAGGCCACTAACTTTTCTCTTTTATTTTGGCTCCCTCTAGTTAGTGAGAATTCCTGTCAGAGCCAGATGATATATTTTTTAGCAGTGTTGTGAGGTTTTCTTTCTTTCCATTTCCATAGGCATTTTGCCTGGTGTGGGGGTGGGCAGTTGCTATCAGCCAGATGTCAGAAATTGCTTACAGTAGAGGCAGTTGATAGTAAATGAGCTCTCAGGCAGACACAGAGTGTATGTCATGCATAACTCCGGGTGTCACAACTGATGAGTTTCTGTGCAAAAGGGGAACAGGAACTCCAAGGACATTAAACTATCAGCAGTGTGTTTGTGCTTGAGTGGTGGGGCTACATGTGATTCAATACTTTTTTTCCTTGAGTGTCCTAAATATTTTTAATGTGAATGTGCTATTTTTATAATGACCAGTAAAACCATGATGTAGTCCATTCATTTCTGAGGATCCTAAGACGACGCTTTTCTATCTTCTCCCTTTCAGACTGCAATGCAAATGTACATAAAGGTTGTAAAGATGCTGCGCCTCCGTGTCCCAAGGTAATCTCCGTCATTTGTGCATGTTCATGTTCATATCTAGCTCGGTTGCTCCATGTTATCTGTTTAGGTTGTTACTCTTCTATTGTTGTCTAGATTTATTTCTAAAATGATCCCTGTAGTGATAAAATAACACATACTCAAGTGTGTGGTTGCCCCTTAACTCTGTGCTCCCAGAACTCAAGGGGAAGCTCCGGTCTGGCCACCTGTGTTACGCAGTGTGGGTGGAACCTGCTTGGTTTACCAGCATATGTAAATGAAGTCTAAGCATATGTAAATGAAGTCTAAGCATATGTAAATGAAGTCTAGAGCAGTAATTCGCATACACCAGAATCACCTGCAGGACTTGTGGAAACACAGATTTCTGGGCCACTTCCAGAATTTCCAATCCAGTAGGTCTGGGTGGGGTCTGAGACTTCGCGTTTCTAACAAGTTCCCTGGTGATGCTGCTGGTCCCGGGACTATGTTGTGAGGCTTGCGGGACCAGAAGAACACCCTCTGTATTTGGGGGTGAGCTTGAGTAGGTGAATGCACCCATCTTTCATTCTATTCCTTTTTCACTCTAAAGACATGTCAGAAGTTCATGCAAGAAAATGTGAGGATCCTTCAGAGGGAAACTTGGAGCCACAACCTCCGTGTTAACTGCAGCACATGTTGTGTCAGGCCAGAGTTGAGGGTGACGTTTCATTGCTCAAAGTTGTGTCCTGCAGGCAGGAGGCATAGCCAGGATAGAAAGAAAAGAGTGGGAGAAAGGCAGAGCTAACAGGACCCCCCCCTTTCAGCCCGAGTCTGGACATGTGAGCGGGAGAGTTCTGGCTCCTCGAGGCTTTTAATAAAGCTGGATATTCATGAGCAACGTGCTGCTGAGATGCACATTCATTATAACGCGCACATCTCATTATCCTAACATTTTTCTTCATTGCATTTCATGTCTTTTGCTTTGAATTCCTCTTTGAAATAAGTGAAATAACGAAATGATGTAGATGAGAATCCCATCCTGTGTCCTGTGGGGACGATCTTGTAGTCTGTGGGTGCTTTGATCTCATTTTGTGTGTTTCTGATGTTCTTTACCAGAAATTCCAAGAGAAATATAACAAGAACAAACCGCAGACCATCCTTGGAAGTAAGTGATGTGGGAAACAAAAGCTTTCCCAGCTTCCCATACCACACATTTTTCCAATGTAAAACACTCCTCCTTTTGTTCCCTCATTTGCCCAATTATTTCTTCTTTCAGAAAAAACGCTTGGCATAATTTTTAGTTATACAAAGGGGTCATGAATGGCATACACTTCTATGGCAACCTAATAGCCTTTGTACTATATTACCGTATGATTTAAAAAATTTTTTTTTCAATTGCAGTTTACATTCAGTATTATTCTGTATTAGTTTCAGGTGTACAGCATAGTTGTTATGATCTTTTATATTACGGAGGACTATCTGGAGGAGGTATTATGATTTTGCCTCAATTCTAAGATGCAGTCTAGCATCATATACACTACTGATTTAATAACATTGCAGGGGGAAAGAAACACTACATTAAATGCACACAATTTTATGTCTTCCTAGCAGTAGCCCATCTCTATCTACACAACTACACACCACGCACTTCTTAAGAATCACAAGGTTAGCGGAGAAAATCTTCAAGTTTGGAATCTATAGATTCTTATCATTCTCTGTTGTTCGTTACCATAGCAACCTGGTGTTTTTCTTAGTTGTACTTGAGGCTGGGATCTCATGATCTCTTCTAGGATGGCAGTGAAATTTCAAGGCATATCCAAGTTTTGATGCAAGAACCAGTCATACCATCATCTCCTGAGTTTGAAATCCTTTGGTTTGTTGTGAGATTTTGCAATTTCTTCTGCCTCAAATTGCATTCTTTGCCACGTGATAGGCCTTTTAAATTTGTGGTCCCTTTTCATTTCAAGGCTGTAACAAAGTGTGACCCATGTTTTTAAAACCACTTGAGTTGGGGGTCAATGAGGTATGCAGATTCATGGTGACATGAGACTGGGTGTGATTTACACCAGGTTCAGCTGGTGCAGTCAGTACCACTGTGATATCGTTAACTCGTTGCTCAGACATCAGAAGTCCCTTCAACCTGAGCTGTAAGGTGCTTCTCAATTTCAAAAGGTTAAGCATGAAAATACAAAGCATCTTAGAATTCATAAAATACCACCAATTCCCTCTCTTTACTTGGGAGTCATGAGAATAAAATTAAATCATACATGTGTCAAATTCCCTGTAATATCCTGGGGTTCCATATAAACATGCCCCCTTTTGCTTGAGCAGGTACCTGCAGCAGCTATAATACTACAGGCCTGAAATATTTTGAGAGTCATTGATAGTGCACATCAAATGTAAATGCAGCTCTGGCCATAGCATTTTAGAACTGCCCGGGAAGGTGTTGCAGCACCACTTCGTTTTCAGTAGGTGAGAGACGACAGCCCAGTTTGGCTTGAAGGTTTTATTTGCCTGAAATTCTTAGACCATAAAGAAGCAGACTGCCCAGCATCATTCCAATCCATTGACATGCCCTGTGTGTGCGTGTGCTTGTTTATACACACAACGTGCATTCTAGTCACAGTGCTAATGACACGGTGCACCCATCTGAAGCCGGCTCCAAGGAGTACAAGCAGTGGTTTATGAGAGAGCCGTCCCAGTGTCCCCTGGTCCATTTCCTTGTTTGTTTGCGTGATCCCAGCTGCCCACAGGCCCCAAGCGGACGTGCCGGAGCAGGCCGGCAGCCCCACTGTCGGGAGGGTGAAATGGAAGGGACACTCGAAGCAGGTGTTGGGATGTGGCTGGGAGACTGGTTTCAAGGCTGGGCTTGTGATACATTAGACGTGGCCATTTGAGTGTTTAGCTCTCTGGCTTTTTACCTGTACTTGTTGTAATTACTGCCCTCTATGAAAACGCATGAAGCATCCATTCTGATTTCCAGATTCTTCATTTAGAGACGTCCCACTGCCTGGCCTCTCCTTACACCCCTCTTCCTCCATGCCCATTGGATTGCCGGCTGGCAGGAAGGACACCGCAGGGCAGGCCCATCCGTTGTCCAGAAGCGTTCCGGGCACCACCTTGGACAGGTAAGTCAGTGTGGTTTTGCATCTTCACGTCTCGGAGTCACTGCTGGGCTAACTCTCCTCCTTCCCTCCCTCCACTGCAGGAGGCCAGGGACGTCCCTGGAGTCTGAGAGTGACGGGAACTCCTGGAGAAGCAGGTCTCATTCCGATGAGCTTTTACAGTCCATGGGCTCATCTCCCTCCACGGATTCTTTCCTAATGGAAGGTGAGGAAAAGATGCATTTGCATTTGCCTGTGTTTCTGTGAGCATTTGCCAGAAGGAGTATTTTCTGAAGGGTGTAAGATTGAAAAAGATTCTTTGTTCTTTTTAAAAGAATTCTGTTTCATGGTGTCTCTTTGGTATAGGTTCTTCTGATAAAAAGAAAGGGCAATTTAGCCCCAAAGAAGACTTCCGTAGGGTGACCAAGGAAATACGATGTGTTTTTAATGGACACATGTCATAAACATAGTGAAGAAAATGACATACATTTATGTATTTGTTATCCTTTAAAAAGTTTTATAGCTGCTGATGAGCTGAAATAGGACTATACATTAAAATATATGTTTCAGTTAGTTAAAGGACTTGCTTGGAACTCTGGGATATTTATTTCCACCTGTTGCCTCCTCCTTCTAGGGAAATAGAAGCCTTTGTTTTTAAAGAGCATATTTTGTAGGGTAGGACTTAATCTGGGGAATTACTTATTGTATCCAACTTGTATCAGTAAGTGAAAGAAAACTGAATGACAGGAGAGTTAGTGACAAGAGAAAGGAGTGAGCTCTGCCCCAGGAGTCTGTTTCTTTATTTTAAACTCAAGACTTTAAATTCACTGTCATGCCACCTTTATTGCTCTGAGCTGGACTCATTCTCAGGGGTGCTGTGTGGACGAACAGAATTTAGTTTTCCTGAAGTGGGGGGGG